CGGTCGTAATGCCTGTGTCGTCGCACAAGCCACAACTCGAATATGACGCTCAACTTCTTTGCTCTACTGGTGCAGCATAATGTTCAGCCTGTTCGGGAAAGGGTCCGCTACCTTGCTGGGGGTGCAGACGAGCACGTTTTGCTGCAGGAATCCCCTTCACCTCGGACATCATCGCTCAAATAAACAAGGATCTTTTATAAAGATTTCTTCAAAGGATATTATTTCCCCTGGATTGATCGTCATATCTGAGCGCGGTGCAGAGCTTTTGTGTGGACATGTTCGCGTGCGTTTGCGTCGCGGTCTTGAAGTCAGCTTTTGGAAAACTATCGGGCATGCAGTGGACCTGTTGCTAACATTTGCTCGAGGCCACTTTGGATTTCGAAAATACGCCACACATTTCGGAATCTAATATTAACTGACTGTGACGCCGCGACGTGACCGCACGCGACAATTCTTGACTAAATCGAGGTTTTCAGGCATCATCGCTGCCGTTATCGATAATCATAGTGGGTGTTGGAAACGATGAGTTTGAAAATATGAATGAATTGGATTCCGACACTCATCTACTGACACATGCCGGTCGAACAGCTCAAAGAGATATCGTGCAGGTGATCTCATTACCGTTTTTATTGATTGCTTTTATCCCTTTCTCGAGAGGAAAAGGTTAATGGTGGAGGTGCTTTCAGTTCGTGCCTCTACGGAATTTTCTACGGGAAGGATGTACGGGAGCTGAGAGCGAAAGAGTGATGGGACTGTTGGCGAAAGAGGTGTTGGCTGAGGTCCCTCTGCAGCTCACCTCCTATATGAAGATGCGAAATATTGTCCCCAGACCGGCTGATGATCCATTTCCCAAGGATCCTGAAGCAGGTTAGTGAAATCATTTCTACATCCAAATTTTTCCTGTTTCTTAGTTCTTAGAGCTTGTAGGAAATAGTACGGTGTGTCGGCGCATACAAATTTTTGAAATTTCCAGAGTATCAACCTTTGGTGCCGTCAGATATGTCAATAAATTTTGGGCGTAGCAACGGTGTCTTTGAACCAGTAGCTTGAGCGCGCGTACAAATTTTTAAAAATTTCCACGTACATATTTTTAAAATTTCCAGAGTATCAACCATTGGTGCCATCAGATATGTCGTATGTGGCAGATCGTGGGGGTCCAGCTCCATTGTATCCAGCTCAACCTCCGGCTCCTCAGTATCCTGTTCAACCGCCCATGCCTCACTATCCTGGTCAACCGACTGCTCAATATCCTAATCAGCCACCTGTTCCTCAGTATCCTGGTCAACCGCCTGCTTCCTCAGTATCCTTCAATGCCTCAGGTACGTGATTTATGTAATAACACTCGTGGTGAAAATTGGGTGGTTAAGCGCTAAGACCGCGTTCGTACTTCGCGACTGCAGCCGCGCGATTTAGTAATCGAGCCTCTGCTACCGATTCGCGCTTTCGGCTAATCGCTGAACCGCTGCGAAAGTCGAAAAAAGTTTTATTTTGAATGTGATTGAATCGGGCAGTTGTAAGGGTTAGCGCTGGAGCGCTGTCGCTTGCAGTCGCGCGATCCAGTAACTCGAAGTATAAGTGCTGCCTCAGAGGTGTTTGAATGGCGCTCATCCTCTTCTCAGTGACTAGAGAACGCCACTAAGCACTGGGACGCAACAGCTATCGTAACTTTTTTTACCTAGGCAGCGTTCAGACTTCGCGATGACGCGCATCGACGCTCTACGCGACGCGCTAGCCAATTGCATAGCGGTATGCGGTTGGCTGTTGTAGCTATGGCTTTGAAAGGCCAATGGGAGAATAGAAGGGTACTATTTCTCTAATCACACACTAAGTACGCGTCCAGATTCTCCAATATATCTCCCAAATGACCTAAACTGCCGCGATGATCAATTACCTAATCTATGTGCTATGTCCGCGTCTACTGGCAGGCTGAAGCACTATTGCAATGGTACCGCGAGATAGCGCGTCGACGCGCGTTATCGCAAAGTCTGAACGCTGCTGGGCGAGACACTCCAGAGCAAAACTAGTGATCATCACAACTATGTGGTCGGTTCATTGTTTATCGTCATTTCAGGGCCATCCATCGGCTCAGATACCTACCTCTCAAATGGGATATCCACCTCCGATGCCACAGCAATATGGTTTCGCGCCCTATGGCGGTCAATATCCATCGACAGCACTTCCACCACAACCATACCCCTCACAACAACCATATCCACCTCAGCCATATCACTTCCAGCAGCAATATCCAGGTTACGCTCCTGTTGGTATGCAACCGTATCCTGCAGCAGGACCTCCTCCACCCATGCATCAAGCAATCCCACAACAAACTGCCGCTCCTAATGCTCCCACAGCTCCCCCTGTTGACCTCGGTGATATTCAGCCAACATGGAAAACATGAACCTCAGGTCTTATCATTCAGCATTTTTTTTTGTATTGTTGGCTTTCTGTGAATGGGTACTATAACTGTTTACGTTGTCGATTCTTTGTTGATTTTTCCTCATTCTTCACCTTTTTGTCCTGCCTCAGATCTCCTCGTCTGTCACTTGATATACGATTTTGTGTCAAATTTTTTTTTCTATTCGTTTCTGCAATGACATAACTTACCAAATAAATATCACTAAGAACTGCTTCTTTTTTTAATGAATTGCCTAATTTAGAGTTTTTTGATTGCATTGGTTCTCTTTCCAGTGACTGCCCAGTAGCTTCAATGTTGAGCGTAATTAAGGAAAGTTGGTCAGTTTGGGGGCAGAGATAGGGCAGCGGCTGACGGCGCCGCATCGTGCGTTGATCGTCGGCGCGATCATTCATTTGGTCAGGTTAACAAGGCCCAAACTTTGGGCTATGGCACAATAGCCTATGAGCTGAGAAAGTTATCGCGATCTTGGTGGATGCGCACTAGTACGATAAGCGTGAACTGCGGGTACGAGTTTCGCCTAGGGTCAGAAGGTTTGGCCATATCCTTCAGCGCTATGACGATTCGGGAAGGGCGCTATTTCTAGCATGGCGAGCGAAGTCGAAATAGAGCGGCTGGCAAGCGGAGTGTCTACTGCAGTACGCGCGCACTGCTGCAACCGGCGTCTACTCTTTCTTAAACGAGGGGGAGGAGGGAGGAGGGCAAAAAAAGTGTCTTCACCGGCTCTCGAAGGCGCTCTAAGTTCACCACTTTCATTAAATTCTGATTGGGCATTTTCATCATGAAATTTAGCAACGCATTGCACACGATCACGAAACTTCGCCACAGCCTTCACGAACGCCATCGAGAGGTTCTGTCGCGCGACCGTGATTCGGTGCCTGAGTCCAGCGAGGTCGTGGATTTCTCCGCCACTATAGACCACCCTGCTGAGCTCCTTCCGGACCCAATAATCCAGGAAGTTAGTTGCTCAACGCCCTTCCATTCCGAGACGGCGAGTTTTTTCCAAAGCCGCTGTAGCAGTTCGAACTTTCCAAGATGGTGCAGCGACGGACGTGAAAAACAGCGTCATTCCCTCGAGTTGTTCGCTGTAACGCGTTTAGCGTTCACTTTCAACCCGGAGCGCCAGAAGGAAGGTATCGGTTCTTCCCCATGTCCGGGAACTTCCGTCCGTAATCATTAACCCTTGGCGACTTACAGAAAAGATAGACGCATAAGTGAGCGTGTCAAAAGGCTGCTCGTATGTTGAGGTCTTATTCAAATCAAGAGCACTGGTCTCCAAGTAGCTATCCATGGGTGGCTCGACACTGGAAAGTTTTGCAGCTGTTTAGAGGTGACGCGAATTCCAGAGGCCGTTCTCCAGTCCTGCTGCGATGGAGAGGCTTCATATTTTAGTGTACATGAAGGTGGTGGACGGGAGCCTGCTCCTGCTTATCGAGAAACATCTTGGGTATCTTCCGCCCTGGTACTCGTAATCCACGTCTTCCTATCCGGGCTGCGTAAACTTTACTGACATGTTACTCGGATAAGGGTCTTTTTTGCCCCTCCCCTGTACTCTCTCTCTGCGTCCGCATCTCTCAAGTCGACAAGCTCTCGCTGTGCCTGTCTCAACCAGCTACTAAAACTACTAAAGGGTATCTTTCTCACTCACTCAATGCCACGACTATGACTAAAACGCTCCTAAACCCACACTAAGGTGGATCGGGAGACTGTCTTCAGCAGGCGATGTGGAACATCTTGAAATGGTCGTGGAACGGTGTAAACCCTCTGTAGAGAAATTTTTGTTCTTATGCTGAACAGGTTTGTACCATAAAATTATTTATTATGCCTAAGGTTTCGAAAATATGTCCGATTAGGCCAGAAATAATTCCATCATATAAACCTGTTCAGCATAATAAGGAAAATATCTATTACACAAATGGAAATGCCCACCTACGAGAAAGGTAAATATGAAGCTTTGTGTAGAAGTTGCTAAGAGTTCGGTAGATCTTCTGGATATTTGCATCCCTAGATCGGTGTCCGCGAAAGCTGAAATAGCGGCTTTCTGATCGTTGTTGATTTATTCCCAGTGTCTGATGAGCCACACCGGGGTTCCTACCCAAATGGTTCTCATAAAGTTGAGAGCTGTTATTCTCCCGGGCCTTGATTCGAAATACGTCAAGGGTTCTGGATGTGAAGAGCTCATCCACAGCTCTGAGAGTTTTAGACAGCTGTAATCACAAAATCGCCCTCGTCATGAATTTCAATTCTGTGGACATGGAGAGCTTTTGATAATCGCGATTTTTCTCCCAGGTCCTAGCCCTACTTCCCATAATCCTGATGTAGTACGCCCCATTAACGCCTCGCTAATATCCGTCTTCGTTTGTTTTCGGCTTCACCCAACGTCAAAATTAATTTCTGCCTGTAGAACTTACTTTGTTGACATCGAGCAGCCTTTCCAGGCTGAAATGAAGCGATTTATTCAGAAACCTGTTTTCGACGTAATCCTCTTGTCAGTGGCGAAATGCGGACTGATGTTGGGAGAGAAGTTCCCATCAAGTGCCCACTCAGCACTAGCAGTCACCATGGCGTATTAAGAACTCAGAGGAGAATTCCACACAACATGAAAAATGCACCCACCATGGTTCCACCGTGAGTGCGGCGAAATCTTACAAACGGACATTGGTGTGTAGCAATCTACTGGGAACTTTGCGAAATAGCAGCCAAACACACCACCAAAACGGGTACGATACATTCGTGTTCGCCACGGATGGTGGGGCGCGTTAGAGGTACCGAGGGGGTCGCTCGAACGCCTCGTCATTGTGGAGAATGGCGCGAAACCTAACCCCTAACACTCCTCAGCTCAGCAGATCCAAAACTAGAAACACGTTTGAACTTCTGAAGGAGGTGACACCCGAAAGTCAACCCGAAAGTCATGATGCCCAACGGTTCCACCAGAGAGTTCCAAAAGGCATATCCACATCAACATCGAAGAGCCGAGGCAGGGCTCGCCATGCGAGTTACAAGGTGGAGTCGTGACCTGGTCACTGGAGAGGGGAGGGTCGTATTTTGCTGTGAGACAATTCCCTACTGATCGTCGATTTTCCCACTTACATGCTCCCTATAAACCCCCCCCCCCTCCTAAAGGGATGCCCTCAAAGATATCTTGTCTGATGGATAATCGAAGGTACCTACCTCCCCACCCGCTCGACGCCAAAATCTAGGATAAATCTAGTTGAGAGAGCTTAGTGATTAGAGGGTAGGATGGGACAGGGGGCAAAAGTTTGTACCAGAGGAAGTTGGGTAAAGCATTGTGATGTGTGAAATGACAATGCCAGTACGACCCCGCCCCCAAATTTTCTGAATCTGATACGACGACCCTTTCCCTATCTGACCTATGCCTTCCTACGTTTTCACAGCTCCTTACCAATTTTCCCAGTTTCCCAAAAAATTTCCCAATTTCTTCCCCGAAGCTGCCAACGAGAGCAGAGCACTTGGTTGGGGATTTATCTCGAGTCCGTACGATCCCCCCCCCCCGCTTTTTTAGGCGATTGGTACGACCCTTCTGGTTTCCTCTTCATCGAGCTGTCAAACAGGGAGGGGGCATATAGTGCTTTTACGAAACGGTCAGCAACCTCTCTGAGTAGGTCAGAAGTGGAATATGACCTCCCATTTCTCAACGTCTCGTGAAACAAGAAAGATCAACTATCAAGAAGAATGTTCCTCAGACGACCCGTCCCCCCCCCCCACGTCCCTCTCCCAGCGACCAAATACGACTCTCCCCCTGTTGTGGAGGGGACACATACAGCGGAAACGGAACAGGAAAATCAAGGGAGAACCGAGAAAAATTTTCTCACAGCTCGGGAGAACTTTTCCCAAGGGCAAAGACGATCTTCTCCCCTGATGGGTTTTTCCAACGATGCCCTATACCCTGACCGAAGCAGCAACTTTGGGGTGGGGCCGTATTTTGTAAGGAACATCCATCGTGATGATGTGCCTTGTGCCGAAGTTTTTTTTTCAAGAGTAAATCTGTACAATGTATGTATACTATGTGCTATCGAACAATCTAACAGCAACTCTTCATCTGACTTTTTATACAACACCCTTCCAATATTATTACTTTGATACATTTTTGGACGACAATTCTTGTGATTCAAAGCAGAAGAAATTATTTTTCTGTGAGTAACTCCTGAACAACCCTAATAAACCCGATAAGAATCTCGATATGGCGCTAAGAGGACTATCAGCATAATTTCATCATCACAATCCGGGGCAAAGGTAGGTGGGGGAGGGGGCGGCAGGGCGGTAGCGCGACTCTGCTACGTCATGTCTGCTTGTCTATGTCCTCTCACCAAAAGGAGTACCATAAAGGTCCATTCCACGAAGCCATAACAGACAGACGAAGACAGACGAAGACAG